ACTATCAAACAGCAACAAATCGGAATGATTAGATACTCTTAACAGAATGCTGTAATTTTTGCCATTATCAAATTTTTGTCTATCTATTGCTCTTAAACTAAAAAAAAAAAAACAAATAAATGTCTAATACGGACAAAATGTATTAAAATGAAGTTGTTTTTTATCAAGCCGTATATCACCAGGAAATGCGAATTTGTCGACAAGTTCACCATTTATGCTACTATTCTGTCTTGTAACTATTTTTTATATATATATTTTTCATTTCTTTAATTGATGTAAACATCTGAGGCATTTTCCTTCTCACATTTGCGTCTTTTTCAAGTACTTCAACTACTGTAACATCGCAACTCAAATTTTAGAGGATACTTAATTTATACACAGTAAAAGTTGGTCTCTAAATGTGCTTATAAGCTATTTTGATCTGGTTGACTCTTTTCTTATCGTACAACATCTAAATGTGATACATGGAAATTTAAATTTTTTGCTGTACCGAGATGTTAATCTGAAGCTGAGACGTCATCTGAGCACAATAGATTCATCAAGGACTGAAGAATAAAAAAAAAAAAGAAGAAAAGGAAACTTGATGAAACTACTGAAACTTTGAAAGAAATTTGTATATGAATACATCTTTTTGCACACCTCTGTTTTTTTCCAGTCAAATCGACGGTTGAAATCTATTAATTGACAATAAAATTTCAAAAGTTTTTAACCATTTTCTTTCCTAATCTAATTTTGCACTAATGACAATATTTTAACTTTAATACGAGATTTACTACAGAACGAAGATTTTAAGTTATTTTTTCAATCTTTGATGCAGCATAATTGACTGCTTTTGCTCTGAGAGAGCAGGTAGGCAGGTTTTTCATCACAAAACAATTAGCGAAAACTAAGTGAAAAGGAAAAGATTGGATGTATCATTGCCATGGCCTCATGATCAAATTTTTTGTCGATTTCGTAAACTTAGCTAGCAACTTTAGCAACTGAAAACTGGCAAGTACTTTAGCAACTAAAAACTGCTTGTTTGTAAAGACTTCTATGCAACTATTTACCAAAAAGAGTCAGCCATAATCGAAATCTTTCCAGTTACTTAATCTCGTTGAACTAACAAATCATGAAGTTTTGTACTAAACTCTGCAAATATAATTTTTTTTTAAACAAGCTATACGAGCACATCGATGATCTTGGAAATGTAATATAGAAAATTAGTATGCAACTTTTAGAATCTGCTTCTTATTTTTTTTTCTCTACGCTAATTTGAGGGCAAGCGTCATCTTGCATAATGCAATATTTGCACTGGTATTCTTTTAACTGCACTACCTATGTTATAAGTGTTTTAAGCAACGCCAGTATGTAATTACTTTCAAATTCTGCTCTTTCTCTTCTATCTTAAAAGTAGAATGAAAAATTTTTGCGGATGTACTGAGATATTAGAAGAGAATTATAAGAACAAAGTAGAGGACTAAAGTAATCACAACAAAATAAGATTTTTAAAGAAAAAGGTACACTTTGGTATGCCACCAGCAAACGATACTCAAAATCCAGTTGTTTTGACGTAAAGGTTTAGACAGAACGATAAGGTTTTCCCGAAAAAAAAAAAA